ATACAAAAACAACATAGGAAGAATGAGCAAAGTTTCCATTTTTCGACTTCACGGTTCGATTGCTTCAGTACTTTCTTCAATTGCTTTGTTGTGGTCGCTATCTCATCTTCAACGGGGACTTCTGGGCAAAATGGAATAATCTTACTGGACATTGCATTCTCTTGGTGAGCCCAAGCAAAAAACTTGCATTGCCTATTTGGGAAATTTGCACATCCCCAGAAATATCTTCCTTTATTCTTCCCACTTTTGCACTGCCTCATGGGTGTCGGAATTTGACAGAAACAACATACCTCTTCTTGTGACTGAGATATCTCTGATGTTCTCATCTCACACTCTCAAACTGGGAACGCAGGGAAGATAGAACATACATTTAAATTTAGCTTTGCTTTGGGCACATTATATATTGCATAAGGAACAAGAAACTAGACGTTGTAATATAGCTGTTAGCACAGTATGATGGGCAGTTAGCCATTAGAACAGTGAATGAGATGTTGGACATTTGGCCAATTTAAAATCAATATCTTTTTGAAAAATCTAAGATGAACAAGCACAAATCCGTTAACATCTTTCAGCCTTGCTTTTAGATATTGCTAGCATGAACAAAATGATTAGTCGATCATTATCACAGATTACAAAAGTCCACCACTATATACTTAACCACTTAAAAACAACCTTTGCTGTCTCATACAAAAGTATTGTTGTAAGAAGCAGAAACACACTAGTCACCAGATGGGCTCGTTACAGGTTGCTCGATTGTGACCATCAACTTTGCACCGAGAACATTTGACTGGACGTTTGTAAATGGTTCTGTTGTTTATGCGTCTTGTTTTATTTCTTCCCCTCCTCTTAGTGGTAATTGGTGGCAAAATCTGTATTTTATCCCTGGACACACTCCGCTTCTCATAATCTGGGATGGGATATAATATTTCATCGTAGCTCTTCTTAAACGCTTCTACGGACATGAACCAATCACAATATTGATATACGTCTCTTTTCATATAAATAATGACTGCACAAGCATGCACACAAGGAATACGGGTTACGTCCCAAGCTCGGCAAGTGCACGTCCTCTTCTCCAAATCAACGTGAGTAGTTCTATGTGACTTCACTTCGAATATATCATCTCTTGATTGTTTAATCTCTAAAGTACGTCATCTTTCCATATTTTCTCTAACAATCTGCTCAGCTTTAGGGCACAGATAGCTTGTCCACTTATCAGCCATAATCCGTCTATTGTTCAGGCGACTCATAATTTGTTTTCGGATATGCTCTACCATTTGCAGGATACGTAACAATCGAGCTTCACGTATCCAGCTGTTAAAGGATTCTGCAACATTAGAGGTTACATGACCATATCTGCAAAGCACAAAATAATTAATAGTATGATGGGCATCCAATATGTAATAAAATTAACACGTAACAACAAAACTTAACCTTTACTGCTCAAAGTTAACATAAAAACATCAGTGTTAACATATATTGCTGAAAGTTAACATATATCAGACAAAGTTAACCTATAGAAAGAAAAATTCACATATATGTAGAATAGTTAACATCAACTGCAAAACGTCATAATCTAAGATGAATGCATTACCTGATGCCAGGGAAGAATGCATTCGCCCAATTCTCTGGCGAATAACAGAGTACAATCTCATATGCGACTGGAGCCATCTCATAAATTTCCTTCATGTAGTCGTTCCATTCCGCTATAGTGTATTTATAGCAAGCAGATTGGAGCAAACTCCCCAAAACTTGTGTGTCCTTTGCTTTCATTCCCAAATCCTTTAGCTTTGTTCTAAAATTTTCAACTAGGTGCAGAACGCATTGTGAGTGAATTGCTTCAGGGAAATATTCTCGAACGGCTTCTCGAATCCCCTTGTCGGCATCAAAAATAATTACCAATTGGTGGGGAGGATTGTACGGGTCTAACCTTTCATACAGTATGGATCACAAGCCTTGAAGGAACCATCTCCAATTATCAACATTTTCCTGATCACATATACAATACACAACCGGAAATATCCCTTGGTCTCCATCGTATGCTATGGTGCTCAGGAGCATGCCTTTGTATCTGTCTTTCAAAAAGGTCCCATCCAAAAATAATAGGGGTCTACACCCATGTCTTTCAAAAAGGTCCCATCCAAAAATAATAGGGGTCTACACCCATTTAAGAAACCAACGATGCAAGCGGCATAACATATAAACAGTCTTTTGAACCTTCCTTCATTCTGGTCAATGCATATGTAGCTTCCTGGATTCGTTTCCTTCACCATTTACTCATACCTGTACAACAATGTAGCTTCTGCTCATGTAAATATAATACATTAGAACATTAGGATAATATATTAACATAAAAGCTCACAAGTTTTCATAAAACATAACATTCCACAATGACAGTTGGAACATATCAATGAAAACTAACATGAAACATCTAAGGATGAGATATTGCATGATAAATCAACAATTAACAATTGTACTATAAGCAGCTATGATAAAAATTTATACACTTAATAAAATAACTGTAAAATTTACCATCTTAATTGATCATAAGCCTCATAACTATCACCATACATATCCTCCTGCGCTCTTTCTTTGCCCCACCATATCTTACTGTATTCAAGTCTCAATCCATATCGAGTGAGGAACTCCTTTTGCACATCAATTGGTCGGATTTGAGGTCGCGCCTTTAATACCGGTCGCAATTGGGCTGCTATGAATTTACGAGATGCCCGTGATTGCCCTGAATTGTTAGCATGTTGTCCACAACTGTGTTCATTCACAAACCTTTTGATTTCAATTCTTTTACCATACTTAACAGGAGATGCAAAGAGCATCCAAGGGCATCCATATGTCTCCTTATATCGACAACATACTCGGATACGTTTGGGTTCATTCTTTACAAATTCATAGTCAAATTTTTTCGCCATGGAATAGTACTGCAAAGCTAGTCTCAATTCGTTTACAGTCTCAAATTGTTGCCCCTTTTCAGTTAATGTTGTGTGCCACCATTGAGGAATGCTGGAAGTGTTGTTGAGAATATCATCAGCTCTCATTACAATCTCACCAGACGGGAAATCATTTTGGATTCTCTCTGAATTGGATGCATTTCCTGGAGGATGACGACTATATTCTACATTCAAAGAGGCATCACTACTGCACAAATTAATCAACCAGTGAGATATCATGCACAATATGTTATATTATCTTCTGATAATTTAAGTTAACAGCAGTAGGACCAAAGGTAACATAGTACAACAAAAGTTAACTAACTGGGTGTAAAATTAACCATGTTCCCACGACAATTAACATGTTCATGTAAAGGTTAACATATCTCTTGGAAAATTAACCTATTAGATGAAGAGTTAACATCTAACCATCAGAGATGACAACTATTTTTTCCCAAGTTAGCATTGAAACCTGAAATCACAATTGGCTTATCAACACACATAGACCTGTTCCTGACAGAGTTCATTGTTTACTTACAAATCAATAATAACTTACATTGAGGGATGAGTTCATTGTTTACTTACAAATCAATAATAACTTACATTGAGGGATTTAATGCCCATAAGGGATGGTTGAAAGTTGAAGAAAAAAATAACAATGTTTACATCACACAAAACCCAATGTTATAAAGAGTTCATTAATTACTTACATTTCCCTAATCTGATTTTTCCTTGAAGTGGAACAATCTACATTAACAGCAGCTTGCATGTGAATCTCCGTACAACCAATATTTCGATTGTGATCCAACATGCACTTCAAATCATCATCGTTGTCAACTGAAAAACTGAGGTTGGGGTGCCTCTCAGATTTAAATATAAAGGATAAAGCTTCTTTAGGTACTTTCAATCTTTCAGACACATCAAATTGGAGTTCATAAAAGCTTGTTGTCGAACTACGCTTCACGAATATGGCATTCTCGCCTAAAGACACCATGCAAATCAAGTTATTGGCGGCCATTAGGGGTGGTTGAAAGTTATGAGGACAGTTATGAAGGCAATTATGAGGAGTTGAGGAGTAATTGAGGGGATTTCAGGTACAAAAGGGTTGTTGACAGTTGAAGAAAAAAACCCTAATTTCATTAATGAGAGAGTGAGAGATAAAACTAACCAATTTATAACAAAGGATGAGAAGCAGACCTTAAAATGGCGGGAGCCCGCGCTTTTCCCCCGCTTTCCCCTGTCGCTTCGCCATAAATGCGTTGGACGAGAGATCAGGGAAGAAGAGAACTCATTCAGCCGGTTTCCAGTGAGAGGGATGAGGGCATTTTAGGGAGGTAGCAACAAAATACAGTCACTAAATGTATACGTATGGGCTTTTGGGTCTGGGCCACAATTTTTACATTTTTTTGGGGCTGAAGGCTAAGGCAGATAATTGGTGGGGCTGGGCCACATCCAATTTTTTTTTAGGGGGGCTTGAAACATTTTTCCCTTTAATCTAACTCTTCTCATTCTTGAAGCCGGGAAATTTTTGTGCAACTTCATCACACATTAGCCAACATGTTTAATTTTAGTTGTCAGATAAGTCTGAACATAAGAAAACCGGCAAACATGACTTGCAATATCAAAAACCCAAATTACAAACTGTTCTTATTTCCTGCTTATCTCAATAACAATAGTTTTCTTATAACATTAGATTCAACATTTGACACCTTGTTGATTATAAACAAGTTCACCAAATTACTCAAAAATGTCTGCATCTCTGCATCTCTGCTTTGTTCTGAAAACTCCCACTCATAAACATTATTGAATTGCTGTCTAAAACCCAAACTGCAAACTTCTTTTTGTTTCCTGCTACCTATCTCAATAACAATAATTTCTCGTACGGTGAAATTAATATCTGACAACCACTGGTTATAATCAGAAATTCCTAAAATCACTCAAAAATGACTGCGCCAGCTCTGTTTTGAAAAAAAATTCACTCCCCAAGACATAACCAAGAAAGCTAGAAAGCTCAAATCTTCTCTTTAAGGGCTTTGATAAACAATACTCAATTGCTACAATAAAGGTCCAAGTTGCAATTTTTTGTTAAGAAGAAAAATTTTCATACCGTCAGATTCAATACCTGGCACCTGCCGATAATAAACAGGAACCATCAAGTTCGCTGGAAATTGACTGCATCCTGCTCTGTACTGAAAATTCGTACTACCAGAAGAGGTCACTTCTTTGGCCTCACTTCTATTCCAAGTACAGTAAGCCCACTCTTCCAGTTTCCACCATTAACCTCCAAGAAGCGAAAATCCACCTCCCCATCATCACCATCATCATTGAAGAATTCACCCATCTCAATCTCCATCCACCCATCAGTTCTACTGCTTGGAACTCTGCTCTCTCCCAAGTCCACGCTCGAATCCTCGCTTTCTGGGTCGCACACAATAGTCCTCCTCCTGCCAAAGGGTCGGTACATTCTGTGGACTCTGCGTCCTGGGGCCCCATTGGGTTGTATGCATACAGAGTGCTTAGATTCATGGGCTCCAAACTTTACTGATGATTCTTGGACCGGGAAACTGAGGCCACGAGATGACGGGTCTAGTTTGAAGACGAGATAGGCTGCATAGTTTGTCTTTGGGGAAAGGATTCGGGTTTCAATCCTGCCGTGGATCTCCAGCCAACAGACGTCCAAGAGATAAGCCACCTCAGCAAACCTGGCGTCAAGGTTCAGTGTAAGCCAGAAGTTTCATTTTGCGAGTGACTTTCGTAAGAAGATTATAAGTAAATACTTGAGGTAAAGCATATGCCATGGAGATATCCATTGAGCAATGTGGATCCCATATCGGCGATCAAGCTATATGAAACTCTTTTCTCCAGTAAGCTCTATAAGGCAACTTTTCTTATGACTCACTCCATAGAGTTCCGATTATTAAGTTTTATACATGTTATAGCCTAGCGGCCATCAACGACCGCTTCTCCTCGATCACTATAATACTCCAGAGGAAAAGACAAGCGACCCAAACCAATTCATGTGCCTAAAATAAATAGGTAAACTAACATTCCAAAAGCATTACAACCAAGAAAATCAAGCAAGAGATCTAACCTCGTGTCAGCCGCAGAGATCCATTTCCAGTAATGGGGCGTGTCTCCCCATACAATGCCAAGCTCTCTAGCTGAAATCATATAGCACTTTGCTCCACTTGATTTCTCTAAGTGAAAACTCTGCCCATCACCATGTTCAACCATAAATAAATAAATATATTCCATTAAAGTAAACATGGGAGCTGCACACAATCGAATATTTCTTACAAAAACAATGCCAGGAATAAAATGTGTTCTAAAAGTTGAGGTTAACATTCCCGAAACTAAAATGCAAAGGAAATGACTGAATGTTCTTAAATTTAGTTCCTCTAACCATTAGACCAAAACTCCGAGAGGATCAAATATTATAATTTTATATTAATTCTAATATACCCTCGCAGGTCGAGCATCCTTTTTTATGGGTCGAAACCTAGACTCACGTAACGGTATCAATTTTTAGAAAATCCGCATTTAATTCGTGGTCGGTAGGATTTGAACCTGGATTGCTCTGATACCATCTTAAATTTTAGTTCATCTAACCATTACACCAAAACTCTGAAGTTATGGTGAGGATCAATGATTATAGTTTTATATTAATTCTAACAAATGTTTCCTGCATCCTCTTGTAAATTAATCACTTTATCCCTAAAGCACTCTTTTCAACGCGTGTTCCATTTTACATTTTTCTTTCATAAAACCAAACTTCTGACTTTACCTAATGTGATAACAGTAGTTCACTACAACAATAATACCATATCTAAGGATAACTCAAACAGGAACCCAAAGAAAAATCTAAAGATTTTCCATTTCCCTCCATCTTCTAGAACAGAATTCGCCTCGTTGGAGCTTATTCGGTTTTGTGAAACTCCCAAAGTTTAGGGTCTCTTGTGAAAGTTAATCGATTTCAACGGTATCTGATGTTGTACTGTTAGTCTCCTCATCAAATTCGCACATTTACAAGATCGAAAAAAAAAAGCTAAAATCAAGCGAAAATCAAGGATCAAAACGCTGACTCACCATCTTACCGCCATCAATCAAGATCGGATCACAGAGCCTAAAGTACAAATCCCTCTTCGACCGGAACTCCACCTTATCAGCCGTTCGATCGAGGATCTCCTCGTAATCCTCCGGCAAGAACCGCTCCCAAACCGTATCAGAGTCAACGGCGGATCTTAAGCGCCGCCGACACCGCCGCCGACCTGCAGGAATCACGAGGCGAGGTGAGGGACAGCACGTGCGAGATGCACGCCTCCGGGAGCTTGTTGAAGTCGCCATTGAATTCGGTCTCCATCGTCAAAAGATCGATTCTTTTTAGGTTTATGATGATTTGTTTGGATTTGAAAAGGGGAGACTTTGAGGGGGTTTATATAGGGATTTGAGTGCTTAGCCTCGAAGTATCAACGGTTGTTTGTTGCGGGACGAGGGCAAAATGGTAATAGTGAAGCGCCGGATGCTGCGCATCTCTTGCGTTACGAGGCGGTTGTTAGAATTGTGGTGGTTTTACAGTCTCCTACTTGAGAATTAGTTTTTTTGCAAATTCGGAGCTTCCTTATGGAAATTCCAAAAAAGGAAAAAAAAAAGCCTCAATCTGAAATTGAATTTGACATACAATTTAATCAAACATGAGCACCTCTAACATGAAATATAAATTATATCAGAACAATCTGCATGTGGATGCGATAGCTACCTGCTCGCTTCTTTTATAATTTAGGATACTTTTTTCACGTTAACAGGAGATCTCTGTATTATTTCATCATGGTTCTCAAAGGATAACAATGACATATATCAATTGAAGTCTAAGCTAGAACCACAAACTTTGTTTGAAAATAGAAAAAAGTCAATGGGAAAAATATCAGAATAGTAAATATGCAAGGGCAATGCTACAGGGACCCGGGGATATGGGACAGGGGAGGGGACAGGTGAGCTGTCCCCTCCCTATTGGTCCATGCACTGTTCATGAACAGTGCATGGACCAATAGGGAGGGGACAGCTCACCTGTCCCCTCCCCTGTCCCATATCCCCGGGTCCCTGTAGCATTGCCCTTGCATATTTACTATTCTGATATTTTTCCCATTGACTTTTTTCTATTTTCAAACAAAGTTTGTGGTTCTAGCTTAGACTTCAATTGATATATGTCATTGTTATCCTTTGAGAACCATGATGAAATAATACAGAGATCTCCTGTTAACGTGAAAAAAGTATCCTAAATTATAAAAGAAGCGAGCAGGTAGCTATCGCATCCACATGCAGATTGTTCTGATATAATTTATATTTCATGTTAGAGGTGCTCATGTTTGATTAAATTGTATGTCAAATTCAATTTCAGATTGAGGCTTTTTTTTTTCCTTTTTTGGAATTTCCATAAGGAAGCTCCGAATTTGCAAAAAAACTAATTCTCAAGTAGGAGACTGTAAAACCACCACAATTCTAACAACCGCCTCGTAACGCAAGAGATGCGCAGCATCCGGCGCTTCACTATTACCATTTTGCCCTCGTCCCGCAACAAACAACCGTTGATACTTCGAGGCTAAGCACTCAAATCCCTATATAAACCCCCTCAAAGTCTCCCCTTTTCAAATCCAAACAAATCATCATAAACCTAAAAAGAATCGATCTTTTGACGATGGAGACCGAATTCAATGGCGACTTCAACAAGCTCCCGGAGGCGTGCATCTCGCACGTGCTGTCCCTCACCTCGCCTCGTGATTCCTGCAGGTCGGCGGCGGTGTCGGCGGCGTTTTCAGAAAACTATCAATACCTTTCAAAACCTGACAAACAACGCGAACTTCTTCCACAAAAACTTTTCCACTATTTAAGCGAACCAAACAGCCCCTGTACTCTCAACCTAAAAAGGCCCATTAAAAGCATTCCTTAAGGACTGACGGAGCCACTTCATCCAAAAGCTTAACTTAATTTCGACGTGTATATTAATCTTGAATTTACAGAAATCAAGATTCATGACCAAAAGTGCATACAAATTATGTCTCAACTTCTCGCCCTTTTCCGCTCTTGGGCTTTTATTGGCCTTTTCGGAAAGGACCGAGTCAGCAAAGGCGCTTGCGGATGTGTTCTCAGCCCCTTTCTACGCTAGATACACGTGTTTCCCCGCCTCCGCTGTTGATTAGTTTCGCACTGTTAATTTTCAAACCCAGAAAGTCACCCACTGGATGTCACGTAGGCCCAACCACTGCAGAATAGTGGGTGCATTTGTAGCTAGTGCCTATCTACTGTCTGCTTTAGTTTGCAAACGCTACTTTGTCCGCTAGCAGACAAAGCGTCATTGGATTCTCTATTGGAATACGAACCTCCTGTCTTCCTTTATTGCAAATTCCTAAAGGACCCGGGGATATGGGACAGGGGAGGGGACAGGTGAGCTGTCCCCTCCCTATTGGTCCATGCACTGTTCATGAACAGTGCATGGACCAATAGGGAGGGGACAGCTCACCTGTCCCCTCCCCTGTCCCATATCCCCGGGTCCTTTAGGAATTTGCAATAAAGGAAGACAGGAGGTTCGTATTCCAATAGAGAATCCAATGACGCTTTGTCTGCTAGCGGACAAAGTAGCGTTTGCAAACTAAAGCAGACAGTAGATAGGCACTAGCTACAAATGCACCCACTATTCTGCAGTGGTTGGGCCTACGTGACATCCAGTGGGTGACTTTCTGGGTTTGAAAATTAACAGTGCGAAACTAATCAACAGCGGAGGCGGGGAAACACGTGTATCTAGCGTAGAAAGGGGCTGAGAACACATCCGCAAGCGCCTTTGCTGACTCGGTCCTTTCCGAAAAGGCCAATAAAAGCCCAAGAGCGGAAAAGGGCGAGAAGTTGAGACATAATTTGTATGCACTTTTGGTCATGAATCTTGATTTCTGTAAATTCAAGATTAATATACACGTCGAAATTAAGTTAAGCTTTTGGATGAAGTGGCTCCGTCAGTCCTTAAGGAATGCTTTTAATGGGCCTTTTTAGGTTGAGAGTACAGGGGCTGTTTGGTTCGCTTAAATAGTGGAAAAGTTTTTGTGGAAGAAGTTCGCGTTGTTTGTCAGGTTTTGAAAGGTATTGATAGTTTTCTGAAAAAAATCCTATAGTTCATTGGTAAATGTACACGCGATTGTTAGTCTGGTTTCGAAAGTTCTTGATAGCTTCCTGCAAAAATCCTATAGTTCATTGGAGTTTTGTAAGATTTACCCTAGTTATAAATTTGCTCCTAATTCGATTTTTTATTATCAATTATACGCTCAAGCAGTCTGCTATAAAATTCAATCGGTTAACGAATATAAGGTTGACAGGAAGCTTACGCCTCGTTTGGTACGTGGGAATGAAGACAGGTGAGAATGGAATGGAAGAAGGAATGGAATGGAATGGAATGTATGTGAGAATGGAATGGTCATTCTCATTCTCTTGTTTGGGTGCGTTTGTAGAATGAAGCTAGAATGAAAATCTAATTCTCATTCTCATGTTTGGTATCACTAGTTCACAAGTGAGAATGGAATCCCATTTTCTAATAATGCCCTTATAACAACATAGATTTTTAATAAGATAAAAATAAACATTAATGATAATAACTAAAAAAATTTATTTGTGCATATGTTATATTAATCTAGGTATGTGTTATATTAATGCGCATGTTATTGATCAGGTGTATGTTTCGTTTATATTTTTTAAACAATTCTCACTATTTCTGCATATGTTATATTAATCTAGGTATGTGTTATAATAATGTCCTTATACCTCTATATGTAGTCTAGACATGATATGATTTTGATAATTTTAATATTTTGGCCAATTTCTCAGCGAGAGTTTCCTCTTTTCATAAATATTGGGTCAAATATTTTTCAATCAAAAGTTAAATTTATTGTTGTGCATGAACCACAATCAAACATATACGCAATGGGTACATATAGTTCTCTATGGTGGGAAAACAATAGTAAAAGTTCAAAAAGAATATAATATGTTGGTGAATAAACATTGGTGAATAAACAAAAAAAATTGATTGACCAAAATAAAATATTGACATGAAAGAATTTCAATCGGCAAATAATATATAGTTTCAGTTGTATCTGTTTTTATATTAAATTGTGTTGCTCCTATGTTGAGCAATTGTGATATAATAGGCTAATAAAATATGTACCGTTAGTTTTAATATGCTACTGAAATATGTACCACTAGTTTTAATCTCTACCCCGCAAAAAATTCCTATTGTCGAATATAATTAGTAGCTAAGAGAAAATGAGAATATGTAGTCAAAAGCCATGATTTTTAAATTGATTCTTATTATTAATAGGGGTATAATTGGAAAAAAATCTAACTAATTTGATTCTCTCCTTGAATGGGAATGATCATTCCCTATCTTCTCACTTGGAATGCCAATTCCCACAAAAAGTGTGAATGACCATTACATGGGAATGGTCATTCTAACATCTAGAAACAAGTTTTGTTTGGTATGAGGGAATGAGAAGTGAGAATGACATTTCATTCCACCCCATTCTCGCGTACCAAACGGGGCCTTTGGGAGAGGAATAGGGGGTAGCCCTGACCGTAGGGGAAGTGGGGTCGGGAGGAGAGGGCAGGGCGGCAATCATGGGGGTCCACGCACAAGAGAAATTGTTTGAAAATTTCACTAAATAAATTCACTCAAAGTGTCTACTCATAACAAGTAGAATTACAGGGCTCTATTCACAACAAATAAAATTGCAAGGGTCGAAATTGGATGATACTACTATAGGGGATATGTTCACAAACATACCGGTGATCTATGCCATTTGCTAATTGGTAGACAGGTGGTTTAAGAACATACCAAAATTGTTGCCCTCCCACACCAACGGTTACTCATCGCCATGCAACCTTGTTTAACTAAAAGCGTTATGTGCAAGCCACGGTCCTTTAAAAAAGCGAGGCAAATTAACTCCAATTTAGCACTCTAAAAAATACAAGACATCACTCGCATCAGCACTTTGAAAATGTTGTACATCCCAGCTCTTTTGAAGTTCCAAAGATTCTGCAGGAATTGAACTTTACTCAGAGAACCTACCTCCATCGTCAAACATTAGTACAAAACAGGTCAGCCCAAACGGCTGGAACCGTTTGGGAAAACCCCCTCCCAAACGGTTACAACCGTTCAGGCGACATAAAAAACTCGTTTTGTCCCCAACGGTCGCCCAAACGGTTGGAACCGTTTGGGCAAAAACCCAAACGGTTACAACCGTCTAGGATGGTGCCCAAACGGTTACAACCGTTTGGGGTGTAAAAATATGCCAAACGGACATACCCGTTTGGGCAAATTTTAGCCCAAATGGTTACATCTGTTTGGGCCAAATGTTAGTCCAAACGGTTACGACCGTTTGGGCTAAAATTTGGCCAAACAGATATAACCGTTTGGCCAAAAGTTAGCCCAAACGGTTGAAACCGTTTGGGCTATTAATTTTAATAGATTTAAAATTTTGGCTTCTTTATTTATCTACCTGGTTATATACACATCTCACAATAAGCACTCAACATCTCACAATGAAATCAAAATATTCTCATACGATATCGAATGTTATATATTCACATACGATATCCAATGTTATATATTCATACACAATGTTTACTCAATATACTTAGTGACAAAACATATACATACATAATGATTACTCAATATCTCACACGATATCCAATGTTATATATTCATACACAATGTTTACTCAATATACTTAGTGACAAAACATATACATACACAATAATTACTCTATATCTCACAATGAAAAACATCTAATATTATATATTTGTCTCTAATATCCAAAATGTCCAACATAATCAATCAAGTCAAGGAAAAATTAAAAAGTAGTTTAATTTTCATCCAGAACATCTATTCAAGGGGATATCGATCCATATTTAAATTATATACACTTTTGCAAGTCTCGAACACAAAACAGTAGCTACACTTAGGCATGAACCTTCGTCTTTCACATTGTAGCAAAATGACACATGAAAATTCACCAACAGACGGTATTTCAATGCAATAAAAAATAAGGGAACTTTTTGCTACAATTTGTCGGTCAAGTAGTTGAACCCTTGCCATCCGTAATTGCCACTGGTGTACATTGCACTAAAGCATTGTGTTCTCGTTCTACTTTATTACTGGAACTCTACAAAAGAAAGTAATAAGATATAACACGCGTGATTTTTAAACTTCTAAAATGCAAAGCATGGCTATTATGGTAACGATGAAAAACACATGTAGGAACAAGGCTGTATGATTAATGATGTAAAATGCATGCAACTCTACATAAAGCCTTGAGAAGTCGAACAGAAATAAATTCATTATCACTTAAACAGTTTTATGGACCATGCATGGATACAGATATTCACATACATTAAGCTACATTTGCAACTTGGAATTAGGTAGAAGAACAGCCCTACAATCCAACACATCGAGGCAGATCTCCAGTGAGCTTAAATAAGGAGTAGAGAAACACCTTTGGCCAAAAGAAGGGACAAATACTAACCACTCCCGAATGCATAATCCCGGCTTCAACACAAAGCTCAAGAAAATTTTAATAAACTTTTTGTGTCCTGTTGCACTCTCACATATTAAATAAAATGATATATGGCTAAGAAACTAAAGAGCTTTCTCCTACTGCCATTTGAGATCCATAGAACTAGTGAATTATGCCTCAGTTGTCGGCAGATCTCTTAGGCATAACATGATTGTGTAGCTATAAATAGCATACATGAGTATGGTTTACAGCATGCAGTGGGTGAACAGAACAACAATGGTCAAACTATAATTTGCACATTGCGTATGAGTATGCCTCAGTTGTCATAACATGAGATAAATGAACTTCAGATATTTACGGGTTATAGCACGAGATCAATGAACCATAAATAAGCCAATCACTCTAACTAGCATGACATAAACAGTGTTCACCCGTAACATGGCCTACAAATACTGAAATTTACTTTTGATCATTTGTGTGTGAATTTCATTTGACCAGCAAGGTTATAAATTGCTGAGTGATATTCAATGCTTAAAAAAACAGACCGCTGCTCAAGTGATACTGTGAGAATCTACATCTTTTGATGCCTGATGACAATATTTCCCATTTCTTATACCTTGGCTAACTTTTTTTTCCTTTTTTTATGTGAAAATTGCTCAGCTTGAGAAAATTGAAACACTTATGAAGAGATGCAACAAGCTGCAGGACTTTGTGCAGGAGGTTAGTGTTTCTTTTTGTACAGAAACCTGCATGTTCACCTAAGGCTATATTTTAGTGTTGCCGACAGTCTCAAACTAATTGAAGTATGACTATACATAAAGGCAGTTAAAATTTCATCCATAACACTTACGCAATACTCTCCGGGTATGTATACTCTCCGGTGATCTTATGTACCGATGACGAGTGGGTACCCAAATATAGTTTCAACATTGTAGGTTTGCCACCATCCTCAATGATTTGACATTTCTGCAATTCACCAAAAATATGTTGTATAATCGATCAAAACATTTAAGAATTATATAATATGAATTTTAATTAGTTGTAAGAAGAAAATTTACCAATTGTTCCATAGCCCGACACATGTTCCTTGAGCCACATGTATAGGTTGCTCTACCATGCAAATCTGACACCCGATTCTGCTCATTACGTCTTGCCTCCTCCTGCATGTTATTACAATATTTAGATTTGTAATCAAACAAAGGCAAAATTAATTACCAACTAAACAATTGATTTAGTTTAAACTACACGCCTTCTTGCCCTCTGAATCATAATATGTGCACAATGTAGCCCATGAGTCTTTATCAATCCAAGAAAATGCCGGAGTACGCCAGAGAGCCTCCCTCTCTGCTTCGGGAGTATTTTTCCACACCTCATAACACTCATGTTTTACCTGACACCTATTATATCGTACCCTCTTACGCAGCTGAGACTTCATTCCTCGATAAACAATATGATCCGAGAGAGGCTGATTAGGATCCACGGGAAGAAACTCATAATCCTTCTGCAAATTCAATAAACGAATCACATGGTTAAAATATTATGTACCAAATGATAACAAATTAATCGGATAAATCAAAATACAAATATAATTATACCTGACATCAATATTATGTACCAAATGATAACAAATTAATCGGATAAATCAAAATACAAATATAATTATACCTGACATGTTATAAAGAAATCGTCAAATGACCTATTATGTTCATCACCTCATTCTAAATGGAGAGGATATTTGCAGTACACACGGCTCTCCACCCCCACATACTTTCCCCATTTCTCAGCATAGTCACCAATGGGGCGGCCCCTATTATGGAGGTACAAAGGCCATGCCTTCTCACCCTTTTCAGCATCAGGCTTAAGCTAATGGGAAGTATTGCGGCCTCGAGTGGGAACAAAGGATCGTGATTGCACTGTATGTGATGAGACAGATAAGATAGTAGATAATATAAAGAATAATAAATAATATAAATTCAAATGATATATATACAAATTGCTACCTCCATCGCCTTGTCGTTCCGCACGTTTCTGAGAACGATTAGGACGAAAATTAAAAGAGTGGTTTGGAACACGTGCTGGTGTAGATGTAGATGCAGCTAAACAAAAAAAAAATGGTTCATGTAAGTACAAATTCATTATGAAAGAAGCATGCTTTTGAGGGGGAAAACACAAGTTCAGCACTAAGCATAGGAATCATGAGTAATGCAACTAAATTTGAACCAAAAGATACTTTTTTCAAGCAATCGATATTAGTTTCAAGGACATTGACAAAACCTGTTTATGAGGTTCCAGCAATTGCTATGTGTGTAACAATATCGTAGCACAAATATTCAGCGAAATTAGTTTCTCAGACAATCATAGCAGTTTATGGGCTCAAAACACCACAGATTTTTACTGTGGATTGTTAATTTTACTTGATCCAATTTTAAACCTATAAAATTTCAATCGATAGTCTCTAATAAGTATTGGCCCTTTGGATTAGATAACAACTGATTACAAAATACTGGTGAATCGCTCATTCTAGCAATTATGGAGAAAATTTTGTCTCAGGAGACTGAGATTCTTATACAGAATGGCAAAATGTGACTTGATCGCTGAACTCTAATAATGCAAGGAAATCTGCAGGTTATGAAGGAAATTTTGTCTCAAGACACTTGGTTTTTCTAAATATTTGTAATTGGTCTCTGAGTATTAATCGGAGATTATCGGAGTATATATTATCCAGAGACTTCATTGCACTTTCATATGAAAGGTTTCAATCCTGACCATGTCAAGTTAAGATTTTGATTGATATCCGAATTGTGGATGAGCTTGTTGTTTTTACATTCATGTTCACACTCGCATATATACATTCACAAAACATGGACAAGTATCAAATCTTAGAAGTTCCTATTTCAGATACTTTTGGAGTTTCAGATACTTGAAACTCATGTCCTATGTACAATTATCACTAATCACTAAGATTTCTCCATTCCTGTATTTCCTTGTGTGCATCATCAAAACATTAAGTAGTAGAACTTGATAGTTCTCAGTGTCCATTTTTCAAAATGCTCAGGACACTATAGGTTGTTTTGTCTTATTGTCTCTATAATCAACTAGATCAGATGGGACAAACAAAAACATTTCTTAAACGGACACTAGAATAAATAGGTAAACACCAAAATGACAACAATCAAATAGTAAAAAAAACATTTCTTAAACGGACACTAGAATAAATAGGTAAACACCAAAATGACAACAATCAAATAGTAAAAAGAAACTAAATAATGGGAAATATAGAATGGATTAATCTAAACAGAAAAACATGTACTCGCAGAAAACATAAGAAAATTACAGTACCATACAACGAGTTTTATATTCAAAATTGTGTGCATCAGATTTCAATTTAACTTCCTATTAACAGAGTCTCACAACAAATGCTCTCATCATGAGAGAATACTAGATAAAATTTACACCCACTCAAATTATACAACTTCCCAACACTAGAATGATACAAATATCAAGTAAGATTAGTGTAGTACAACACAGCCCTACCACAGTTCACTGCCCTTGGTCCATGGTTTATGATGCATCGAGTGAAAGCATATAGATCAGACATAGCCGATATCAAAATTTTAAAATTAATAAATTAAGTACCCTAAGTTCAACATGCCATTATTGATGTTGATAAACACAAAATCAACACCGCTGTTACCGACTAAAAAAAAGTCAAATTAACTTCCAATATGTAGAAATGAATGCAACTGTAATCAAATAACAAATCCGAAATTTCAATGAGGACATAACTGTTTTGAGACAAAGGCGTATATCCAACTAAACCCTAATTGCCATGAGCAAACAAACATATATATCAAGTTTAGGCATTTCCCATATGAATTTAGTTCTTAAGACTATATAGAATTGGGGCAGGCACATAAATTCCTCAGTAGAAAGCTAATTACATGTGAGTTGCAAAAAATTATTCAGCCGGACTTGGTCCCATTTGAAAAGTGACAGTGACCCTCGTATCAATCGACTCCTACAATGTAGATTTTTTGCTCCATCCATGAAGATGCGTTCAAAAATGATTATAGGATGGACTAATCAAATTAGGAGTAAGTATTCAAATTGCATTGAGGGATAGACTTCGAAAATTGTAAACCCTGAGAAGAAAGTTCAAATAATAATTATCATATACATTGATGGATAAGAAGCAGCGACCTGAGGAGGAGGAGGTGGAGGCACGCGGTGGAGGAGGAGGCGGTGGAGGCATGCGGTGGAGGAGCACGCGGTGGAGAAGGAGGCGGTGGAGTATTATCATATACATTGATGGATAAGAAGCAGCAACCTGAAGAGGAGGCGGTGGAGGAGGAGGCGGTGGAGGCACGCGGTGGGGGAGGAGGCGGAGGAGCGATGCGGTGGAATTGATGGAGGCGGTGGAGGAGGCGGCGGAGGATCGAGCGCGCCGGCAAAGATGAGGCGGAGACGAAGGTCAGGCGTTGGCCGGCGAAGATGAGGCGGAGGCGGAGGCGAATTTTTTGGCGGAGGGGAATTTGAGGGTGTGGTTTGGGGATGAAATTTTTGGGGGGAATTTGAGAGGGTGCGGTGTTTGGGGATGAAATTTAACCCTAACATAACTCTTAAATGGTTTCAACCGTTTGGGCAGATATATTCTAAATAGTCTAACCCGTTTGGAATCAATGTTTGTGTTTATTCAATAGCCCAAACGGTTTAAACTGTTTGGAATAATTAACTCAAACGATTTAAACCGTTTGGACTATTTTGACTTGCCCAAACGGTTCCAACAACTGTTTGGACTGTTCTGTTTTGTACCTTTTTCAACGAGACATTTGAGTCAGCTACATCAGCGTCAACCAACAAAGACCACAAGAATTAAAAGAACAATTTGCATGAAATCTCGCACAGCCCATAAAGGATCCAAGAAAACAAATCTGGATCCGCAGATTGCTCAATGCTTACTACTCGATGCATGGAGCAGTGATGAGGACATCCAGGCACGTGCACGGGACTTTCGCCTTGTTTATCAGCGTAGGAGACGCTGTATTCCAGCCGTACATCAGATCGCAGGGATATGGTTTTGATACTTTAGAAATTCTAGTTATTTTCAGTTAGTAGTTGGTTTCAGATCAGAATTGTTATTAGTTATTTAGTTTGTTATTGGATAAGGTTGAGAGAGATTTGATTGAGTTTTTAAATTCTGTAATATTATCTATATAAACAATTGTAATCAGAATTAATCATGAATGAAGATTATTGAAAATTAGTGCAATTACCTGTGATTGACGTGTGAAACGTGGGTGTTAAACCCTAGATCGCTCCTCTGTTTCTGTTCTGTTCAAACAGTCGCCGGCCTCCTCTCTCCCCACTTCCGAAACCCTAGATCGCTCCTCTGTTTCTGTTCTGTTCAAACAGTCGCCGGCCTCCTCTCTCCCCACTTCCGCCATCCCCATCTCCGACGGCCTCGACAACCACCGCCTTCGCCATTGTCGATCGTCCCGCCCCCTGAAACCCTAGGTCGCTGCCATCGTTCGCACACACGAGCAGCTCCACCACCGTCTGCGTCTCCATCCGAGTCCCAAAGCCCTAATCACCACCCTTAGCCTCTGCCACCGTCGAACGTCACCACCTCCTCCACCTCCGACAGTGTTCGCCCTCTATCGCGTCCCAGATCCGCCCGTCATCGCTCTACCCGCAAGATCGCAGTCGATCCGTGTCCTCGAGCCGCCAGCGCACGTTCCTTCTCCGACTGGAGTGGAACCGAACGGTTTTGGGTCTAGGGCTTGAACAGATCCGGCCTTCATATTTGGGTTGATTTATTTCGGTCCAAATCACCTTTATTTGGGTGGTTCAGTTGATTCAGTTTGGTTCAGTTGGTTCAGTTTGGTTCAGTTGATTCAGTTGGTTCAGTTTGGTTTAGTTGGGTTCAGTGTGATTTAAGTTTTGAGTCGTGATCCATTGGTGTATGGCTGACCCTGAAGCTGAAGACAACGATCTCGTGCTAAATCCAGAAACTGGTATTGTTGATTTGCAGTTTTCCTCGTGGTTCGACTACCGGACGTTCGAGAGTGTTCCTGAATACGTCGAACGCGTAACTCATCAGCTTGTAGACAGTGTGGAGAGCAGTTTGGGAATTAGTTATTGGCATCGACATTTTCATCCAGACACGCCGCTTCACCCCAATTACGTAGCTCTCGGAGGAGAACTCCCGCCACTCAGATTCGGAGTTATTACACCGCCTCCAGAGGATCCTCCCATCAAACCAGTCCAATCCGACGAATGTTTAACTTTCTTACGCCCAAATATTTTCGGAATTGCCATTGCGTGCATGTTATTATCAATCTTAGTATCAATTACGATTATGCTGTATTCAGTTTGAATAGTGAGCGAGTGATTCTGTTGCTGAGTATTTCTGCTTATCTAAATATTACAAATTGAACTGTATTAAAAGGACAAATCATTACATTAATTATCGGAATAATTTTACAAAGGTTCAAACTTAGTACATTGAAACTTTTGCTTAAAAACCATCGTTCGCTTCATTTTATTCTTGAACTTCCTGCCTAGATTGATCGCTGATTTGGTGAAGCATTGTTGTCGCTGATCTTGCACCTGCATTCACATTGTTTCACATCATTTTTGGTATCAGAGCATGGTTCTAGGTTAGGAAATTTATTTTATTTTCAGGTTAGGAATTTTTTTTTAGTTGAGTCTTTATAAATAAATAAAAAAATCATCTCATTAGCTGTTAGTACACACATTTCATCTTTTTAGCTGTAGTGCATGCCCACTCGCACAGGTCTACCTTATCGATTAGGAGAGTCAAGTGAGTCAACTAGTGAGTCCAGTATGTCAGGCAACACAGATCCCGAACTCCTTAAGCAAATCGCTGAGTTAGCACGACAAATAGGTAATTTAGCCCAGGAGAGCCAAGCTACCCGCGAGATCCTGAATGACAATAACGAGAGATTAGCGAGGCTCGAAGAAGCACGTGTTGCAACTCCTCCGCCGAACGATCAAGGCTTTGGACCTATCGCCCCGCCACCACAAGGCCAAGGCTATGGGCACTTCGCTCATCGACCCCCACATCAGCCTGTATCTGACCCGGACGCGCAATACTTGAGGAGCATTAAGGTCAGCGTGCCAACCTTTGACGGCAAGCTTGACCCACAAGCTTTCTTGGATTGGCTGAAGAACATGGATCGCTACTTTGATTGGTACGTCCTGACGGAACCCCGAAAGGTCAAATTCGCAGCTATGAAGCTCACCGGACCCGCCTGCCAATATTGGTCCAACCTCGAAACGCTAAGGCACATTAGAGGTGAGTTACCAATTACAACTTGGCGAGAAATGGCAGATGAACTGAAACGAAAGTACCTCCCGCCATCGTTTTATCATAGACTGTTAGACAAGTGGCATCGTCTCACTCAAGGAACCAAGTCTGCGAAAGAATATGTTGCGCAATTCGATGAATTGTTTACTCGGTGCAGCACCATTGAGCAAGAGGCACCAATGAAGGTCTTGTCAAAATTTAGAGCTGGATTGAGAAACGACCTCCAAGCTGAACTCTTTGCTAGAGGAGTAGACACCCTTGAGAGAGCTTACGCATTAGTCCAAGACTTAGATGAAGCCAAATCCCATAGGAATCAGGACTTTAAAACTTATTCCTCCCAGTCTTCCTGTGCCACTACCTCTAGTCAGCCTCCGAGTCGATCTAACCCTAGTTCTTCCCAGCCTAAAGTCGACCCCAACTCTAGTCAGCCTCCGAGTCGATCTAACCCTAGTTCTTCCCAGCCTAAAGTCGACCCCAAAGGCAAGGAGCCGGAGAGAGATTTCTCCTCTTCCCAGCCTAAAGTCGACCCCAAAGGCAAGGAGCCGGAGAGAGATTTCTCCAAGATCGGCCCTCACATCAAGTGCTATAAATGCCAAGGGTATGGACACGTTGCTGCGAACTGTCCGACCCATCACAAGGTTGCTATCATCGATGGACAATACGAATTTGAATCTGAGCTTGATAGCGACGAGTTTATCCATCAAGTTGACGATGATACCGATGATTTCGAGGATGATGTAGATAACACTGTCTTAGGTTATCTTAGGCAAATTGAAACTTCTACCGTATCAGTTGTCAGATGCGCCATCTCCCAACCCAAGGCTGTTGATGATTGGAGACGTACTTCCATTTTCCATACGTTCACAAAAATTGATGATAAAAATTGTAAAGTGATCGTGGACAGTGGAAGCTGCATTAACGCGGTCTCCTCAGCAGTGATCGCTAAGCTTGGTCTTAAAGTTGTACCCCATCCTAACCCATACAAAGTATCATGGATTAACGACACCGCACTCAATGTCCAAGAGAGATGTTTAGTCCCTCTCCAATTTTCCATTTATAAGGACAGTTTGGTGCGATGTCCTGAAAATGGATGTGGGTCAAGTTATTCTTGGAAGACCCTGGCTATTTGATAACGACGTTCATATCTTCGGGCGATCCAATATGCTATTATTCGAGCATGACGGAAAGAAGGTCAAGATCCTCCCGGTTCAACCGAAAGGTAATGACAAGAAGCCCGATCCAAACAAGGTTTCCCAAGGTGTTAATCTAATTGGAGCTAAAGAGATTGATCGTGAACTGGCCAATGGAGCTCCCATTTTCGCCCTCGCCGCTAGAGAAGCTCCTAAGGATATTGCTAATACAGCTCCCCCAGAAGTTGCTCCTGTGTTAGAAGAATTCTCTGACGTCTTCCCTGAGGACCTCCCGGACAAGTTACCCCCGATGCGTGATATTCAACACGCAATTGACTTAGCCCCGGGAGCAACCCTTCCCAATTTGCCTCACTATCGAATGAACCCCAATAAGCATGCAGAGTTAAAGAGGCAAGTTGATGAGCTGCTGAAGAAAGGCTTTGTGAAAGAAAGCATGAGCCCTTGTGCGGTTCCCGCATTACTAACGCCCAAGAAGGATGGTACATGGCGTATGTGTGTGGATAGCCGTGCAATCAACAAAATCACCGTGAAATATCGTTTCCCCATTCCTCGGTTGGATGACATGCTTGACTTAATGTCTGGAGCCACCATCTTCTCTAAGATTGATCTTAAGAGTGGCTACCATCAGATTCGCATCCGTCCTGGTGACGAATGGAAGACCGCTTTCAAGACAAAAGACGGATTGTATGAGTGGATGATCATGCCCTTTGGTTTGACTAATGCTCTGAGCACTTTTATGAGAGTGATGACTCAAGTACTCCGTCCCTTCACAGGAAAATTCTTGGTGGTGTACTTTGACGATATCCTTATTTACAGTAATTCTCGCGAGCAACACGTGGACCATCTGCGTCAAGTCTGTGCCGTGTTAAGAAAAGAACAACTTTATGCCAATCCTAAGAAGTGTACTTTTCTTACACAACAAGTCATTTTTCTAGGATTCATGGTCTCGTCTGAAGGGATATCCGCTGACCCTGAAAAGATTAGAGCTATTGAAGAATGGCACGAACCCAAGAACATCAGAGACGTTCGAAGCTTTCACGGACTCGCTACTTTTTATCGTCGGTTTATCAAGGGCTTCGAACATCAGAGACGTTCGAAGCTTTCACGGACTCGCTACTTTTTATCGTCGGTTTATCAAGGGCTTCAGTACCATCATGGTCCCTATTACCGATTGCTTGAAGAAAGGTGAGTTCGAGTGGTCAAAAGCTGCTACCAAAGCATTTGAAGAGATCAAGCAAAGGATGTCGCAGGCTCCTGTAATGCGCCTGCCCGATTTTTCTAAAGTCTTCGAAATTGCGTGCGATGCCTCGGGTATTGGTATAGGTGGAGTCCTATCTCAAGAAGGACATCTCGTTGCTTACTTTAGTGAGAAGCTGAATGTTACTAGACAACGTTATTCCACCTATGATAAAGAGTTCTATGCGGTGATACAATCTCTTCGACACTGGCGTCACTATCTACTACCACAAGAATTCGTCATATATTCTGACCACGAAGCTCTTCGATATATTCACTCCCAAAAGAAGTTGAACGCCAGACATGGTCGTTGGGTTGAGTTCCTCCAGGATTATACCTACACGATCAAACATAAAGCGGGAGTAGAAAACAAGGCCGCCGACGCACTCAGCCACCGCATGCACCTCCTCTCCATTTTAAGTGTGGAAGTCACTGGCTTTGAGAAAGTTAAAGACCAATATGAATCGTGCCCTGATTTTAGCGAAGTTTATACTTTGCTGAATGATGGAGTGACCCGTGAGATTGATGGCTTTCTCCTGAAGGATGGATATCTGTTCCATTTACGCAAGTTGTGTATTCCCGACACCTCGCTGAGAGAATTCTTGATTTGGCCGGGAACTACACGCTGGAGGCCTTGCAGGACATTTTGGGAATAACAAGACTGTCGAAGCAGTTGAATGTCGTTTCTATTAGCCAAGTATTAAACGTGACGTTGTTAGGCTAGTGGGTCGATGTCACACATGCCAACTAGCTAAGCAACGTAAGCAGAACACTGGCCTGTACACCCCTCTTCCTGTCCCAAATTGTCCCTGACAAGATATCAGCATGGACTTCGTGTTAGGGCTCCCAAAGACGATTAGAAAACACGATTCTGTCCTTGTTGTTGTGGACTGATTCTCCAAAATGGCCCACTTCATACCGTGCTCCAAAACTTCTGATGCTCCTCATGTAGCCAAGTTATACTTTAACGAAGTTGTTAAACTGCACGGGCTTCCGAAAACAATTTTATCTGATAGGGATGTTAAATTTACTAGTTATTTCTGGAAAACCCTTTTGGCACAAAATTGGAACTAAGCTTCAATTCTCGACGGCGTTTCATCCCCAAACTGATGGTCAGACTGAAGTAGTCAACAGGAGCTTAGGAAACCTATTGAGATCGCTAGTAGGCGAAAATCTTAAGGATTGGGATCAACATCTACCTACTGCTGAATTTGCTTATAATAACTCTGTTAATAGGTCTACAGGTGTCAGTCCAGTTGAAATAGTGTATGGTTATAAACGTAGACAGCCTATAGATCTTGTCCCCATGTCTGCACATCACAGAGTATCTGAGTCAGCATCTGCATTTGCATCTCGCATTCATGACTTGCATAAAGAAATCAGTATAAAGATCAATGACAGCAATACTAACTATAAAATGCGAGCAAATCTAAGAAGGAGGTTTAAAGAATTTAGTGTAGGCGATTATGTGATGGTCTGGATACGTCCGGAACGGTTTCCTCCGGGAACTGTTAAAAAGTTACATGCACGAAGTGCAGGACCTTTTAAAATTCTCAAGAAAATTAATGATAATGCTTATGTTCTTGACCTTCCTGAAGGTTTTAATATTGGTTCGACTTTTAATATTGAAGATTTAGTAGAGTACAAAGGCCCACATTTTAACCCTGACAACCCACTGGTTGATGAGCCTACCCCTGAGCCTATTTCTGAGAACTCCTTTTTACCTCCACTTCCCCAGATATCACCTACATATACAGCACATGACATTGATGCTATTATTGATGATAACATTGTTTCTACTAGCAATGGTGGTATCCGCAGGTATTTGGTTCGTTGGAAAAATAGACCTGAGTCTGATGATACTTGGCTCGATCGAGGTGATTTACAGAGGCTGGATCCAGATCTTCTTGAGCAGTATGACAGCCGCCTTGATTTACACTTGACAGGGTCGAGTTATCTCCCATCTGGGGAGAATGATGAGGACATCCAGGCACGTGCACGGGACTTTCGCCTTGTTTATCAGCGTAGGAGACGCTGTATTCCATCCGTACATCAGATCGCAGGGATATTGTTTTGATACTTTAGAAATTCTAGTTATTTTCAGTTAGTAGTTGGTTTCAGATCAGAATTGTTATTAGTTATTTAGTTTGTTATTGGATAAGGTTGAGAGAGATTTGATTGAGTTTTTAAATTCTGTAATATTCTCTATATAAACAGTTGTAATCAGAATTAATCATGAATGAAGATTATTGAAAATTAGTGCAATTACCTGTGATTGACATGTGAAACGTGGGTGTGAAACCCTAGATCGCTCCTCTGTTTCTGTTCTGTTCAAACAGTCGCCGGCCTCCTCTCTCCCCACTTCCGCCATCCCCATCTCCGACGGCCTCGACAACCACCGCCTTCGCCATTGTCGATCGTCCCGCCCCCTGAAACCCTAGGTCGCTGCCATCGTTCGCACACACGAGCAGCTCCACCACCGTCTGCGTCTCCATCCGAGTCCCAAAGCCCTAATCACCACCCTCAGCCTCTGCCACCGTCGAACGTCACCACCTCCTCCATCTCCGACAGTGTTCGCCCTCTATCGCGTCCCAGATCCGCCCGTCGTCGCTCTACCCACAAGATCGCAGTCGATCCGTGTCCTCGAGCCGCCAGCGCACGTTCCTTCTCCGACTGGAGTGGAACCGAATGGTTTTGGGTCTAGGGCTTGAACAGATCCAGCCTTCATATTTGGGTTGATTTATTTCGGTCCAAATCACCTTTATTTGGGTGGTTCAGTTGATTCAGTTGGTTCAGTTGGGTTCAGTGTGATTTAAGTTTTGAGTCGTGATCCATTGGTGTATGGCTGACCCTGAAGCTGAAGACAACGATCTCGTGCTAGATCCAGAAACTGGTATTGTTGATTTGCAGCTTTCCTCGTGGTTCGACTACCGGACGTTCGAGAGTGTTCCTGAATACGTCGAACGCGTAACTCATCAGCTTGTAGACAGTGTGGAGAGCAGTTTGGGAATTAGTTATTGGCATCGACGTTTTCATCCAGACACGCCGCTTCACCCCAATTACGTAGCTCTCGGAGGAGAACTCCCGCCACTCAGATTCGGAGTTATTACACCGCCTCCAGAGGATCCTCCCATCAAACCAGTCCAATCCGACGAAGGTTTAATTTTCTTACGCCCAAATATTTTCGGAATTGCCATTGCGTGCATGTTATTATCAATCTTAGTATCAATTGCGATTATGTTGTATTCAGTTTGAATAGTGAGCGAGTGATTCTGTTGCTGAGTATTTCTGCTTATCTAAATATTACAAATTGAACTGTATTAAAAGGACAAATCATTACATTAATTATCGGAATAATTTTACAAAGGTTCAAACTTAGTACATTGAAACTTTTGCTTAAAAACCATCGTTCGCTTCATTTTATTCTTGAACTTCCTGTCTAGATTGATTGCTGATTTGGTAAAGCATTGTTGTCGCTGATCTTGCACCTGTATTCACATTGTTTCACATCAAGCAGAGCTCCGCGTCTCCTACTTTAACTAGACAAAAATAACTTCATACAGAATAATACATCTTTGAGAATAACAGTGAAAGGGAAAAACAACCGTCCTTCAGTTCTAAATACAAATTACATTACAGACATTTCACAGGCTAATAGCAGCTACTAAACACATTGAGACTCTGACAACCATAAAGAACAGTAATTCCAAAACTAATTATCATTTGACCAAGGATATAAAGTTCGAAATGTAGAAAACAGTCTTGCGCCCAAGAAGTATAAATTTCACACCAAGACCCAAAGAAAGAATGGTAAATAGCTTGCCAGAAGCAACTATTATGCACATTGCTATGATCTGATGCCTCTCATATAAATATATATAGTCGAGTTTCTCTGATCTAAAGCAGGCCTGCATCTTTAAGGGCAGCCTCAAAGTCCTCGTCGCTTCGCCAATTAGGCACCTAAAAAAATAGCAGAAAAAGAAATTTATCATAAAAGGCACTTATAAACAGATTAGATACAAATGGAAGCGAAGCAGGGTACACTTAAATAATACCTCACGAACAACGCTATTGAAAACAGATTAGATACAAATGGAAGCGAAGCAGGGTACACTTAAATAATACCTCACGAACAACGCTATTGAAATGGCGCTCAATTTTTTCCATGACAATCTTGTCCCTCTCTGTGCACAGCAGGTTGAATGCAGCACCTGTCACCGAACAAACAATTTGTGAATATTAAATTGTGACTCTCCACACCTACCATAGGTATGGAGTTTGGGCGCGACAGAGAGGCTTGAAAATGAATATCAGACCAATGCAAGTGCAATATAGTTCAAAACATGAAAATGTGAACATGAGTGTTAACATTTTAGTTTAACCATGTTGTGAAACAATACAAAATGATTTTTTAGACTTAAAGAAAGATGTAAACTATTGTTATGAAGTCTATAAACAATGAATATAGTACTTTATCAAAATACACATATAATGTACTAAAACGTGATTTCATTGAACTAAATAAAATTGATATTGATGAAATCATATATATGCATATAAGTATGAAACAAAAATATGTTTTCCAAATATATTCAATTGTTTCATATTAAAACTTGAAAACTATCAAACTAAAATATATATGTATATATATAACTATATATATACATAGAAACTAATAAATATGTGTGTATATTATATTGAGCTTAAGGTACTAACACACATAATATAAACTCCTAAACTAAGTTACCTAAGCTTGATCTTGATCTTCAATAGCTTAACTTGATAATCTTGTGGATGAAGCTTGAACTTGGATCTTCAACTTGAATTGCATTGTTTCAACCACTATATCCGCCAACCTCCATTTGATATGATCGTTATGACGCAATCCATCCAACCTCTAACTTATTGTTTGACTAGAATAAATATAAAACACAAACACTAGACAAACAATATTAGATGTAAATTATTTGTAAATCATCATCAAAACAAGAAGACTAACATCTTCATCAACCCCATAGACCTCCTTCACCTCCCTTCCCCTCCCCGCTCCCACCATCGCCCTCGATAACCTCAACGGCCGGCCCCCCTCAAATCATCCCTGTAGACGATAAAAAATACCTCTGTGAACTTACAAGAAATCCGCCTGCAAGGAGAAGTCGCCCATACAATTCGCCTAAGCCACAGGAATTCACCTTTTATCACAACTCGCCTAACCGAGTCTGTAGTCAAATCCGCCAGCAAACCTCAAGGCCGCATACCCCACGTGCTAAGGTGGGCTTTCCCACCCCTCTTGACCTGAAGGGAGAGGGCACGGTACTCCAAGACCGTCAAGTGGCCGCTCACAGTACGAGTGATCGGGCAGGTGTCGAGTCGACCTGAACATTCATAAATGCAGCTCACCTCGGCTGTCCGAGTCAAGAGCTGGATCCGCCGGCATTCGGCGAGCTGTCCAAGCCCACTCGAGTACCGGGAACCCGCTTTCCCACCTCTCTCGGCCTGAAGAGAGAAGACACGGTACTCCAGGCCCGCCGAATGGCCGCTCACAGTACAAGTGATCGGACAAACGCCAAATCAACCTGTACCCTTATAAATGCAACTTACCTCACTTGTCCAAGCGAGAGGCGAGAGCCGCCGGCGCTCGATGAGTTGGTCAGATCCACTCGAGCATCTGACAGCCGTGGTCACACATACGAGGAGGGGCTTCCCCACTCCTACGTGACGTGATGCAAAACACGGCTCCTCGAATGAGACCGCTCATGGTACAGGTGAACAGTAGGATACCTCTGAACAATGTATGGTCACATCCCATAATTCAAGGAACAGCCAAACTGTCTCTCTTTCATTTAAGAGCCTCTTCCAACAACCTTTAAAGGAGGTCGAAAAACTTTGGGAAAGGCATCGAGACCAAGCTCTCTGCACAATTTTTTGCATTGCAGCACCACTTCTTAGTTCTGAGCCCTGATCGCCGGTGAACTAGAAGATCCGAACTCCATCAACCCAAGCTTCTACTGTATACTGAAGCTCCCCAGCAACCTCGGTCAAACAGTCCAAGGGAAGCAGACTCGACACGAGCATCGAGCGAAGCATCCTGTAGCTATCAAAAGTCCCCACACTAAACAAAGAGGGCATTTCCTCTGCTTCTGTTGTAATTTCGATATATTAGTTTGTAATAAGCCTTCTTATCAATACAAACGAAGTTCCCTATTTTCAGGAGATTAAAATTTACACCTACAGAAGATGGCGACCACAGTGGGAGAAGCTGTTTCGTCTACCGAAATGGTGGTATCTCAGTTTGACGAAGTTGCTGTTGGGATGACCATGGAGTCCCTAGAGATCGAGTTCGACCAAGCCAAGTACGAAGAGTACTTGTCTTCTTCCTCCTCTGGTGGCGATACGTCCCGCAAACGCCACGGAGTCGTGCGCCGAGGCCGACCTCAAACGGTTAAAGCCTCTGCACCTGAGGATTCCACCCGAGTCTCGTCAGGGGAACCCGCTCTCTCAGAATCGATCAAGGCCAAGCCAGAGATCGAGAGCAAGGGACAAGGGTCTGCCAGATGGGTCGCCAAGCGGCCCCCGCAGACACCTGTCCCGGAGGAAACGCCGGTTCACTCCGGCACAGACTACACTGCCACAGCCCTCGCAGGTTGGAAGAGCTAGCCAACAGCGATGGCAGACGCTCGTCAGGCAGGAGGCCCAAACCTTCGTTTCACATAATGGCCTGAATTACTATACGGGCCCAAGAAACGTTAGGCGAGAGGGCAACTTTCCCGACGTCGGAAGGCTCTCCAAATCAGGAGCGCCGACCGAGGAAGATGGGGCCACCCGCTCAGGAGGACTTCGCTTCTCAGGTCACATCTCTGGTGCGAATAAACCACTCCGAGCGAGCGAGCCTACCCGAATAGGCGAATCCCCGAGGGCTGGCGAGCCTCGCCATAGCCCCTTGGCGCATAAACGTAAAGGCAAAGAAGTAGGCGACACCTCGCGAACCCGCTCGTTCAAACGAAGGGTTGAAACTCGCCTACATACTGGAGTTCGCCCAAACGCGAAAACTCGCCCGTTAAGGCGAGATCGCCTAACTCCAGCACCAAAACATTCCACTCAGCGTGCACCAGAGAGTACATCCAAAGCTCTCTCATGTACTCACCCAGGCGATCCTTCTGATGCTGGGGGTTGTCACCAACCGCCCGCAGAGGACCTCCGAGAGTACTTAACTCGCAAACGCACCATACATGAGGCAAATCCTCAGTGTCATTGCGAAAGGCTCATCCACACAGTACTCGCCGACTGTTAATGTATAGGAACGGCGAGGCCTTCGGTGTTTGAGAGACTTTCTCAACAGCCCTCTCGACCAAGGCCCTCCCGTCGAAAGCGTCGTCAACAAAAAGGACGCACTGTCGATGACCTAGAGCTCCCGTCCGCTACAATCAACATGACGGACAAGGGTAAGGCGGTACTTTTCGACTCTCCAGATTCGGACTCCGTCCTGGGGCCTAATCCTCGGTTTGTTCAACACCGGCAAGAGGGCATATACCAGCGTACCCGTAGTCGTAGAGGGGTAAGCATCGGGTTTGATTACTCCACCTTAGCCCCCCCCTCCTACGGCGAAGACGAGGTTCACTCGGCGGCGGCCATGTCTCAAACCTCGCGCTCAAGTCAGGACGCGCTGGCGAGGGTACATATGACTGAACTCGCCCATGAGCAAATGGTCACCCAGAAGCTCGAAGAGCAACAGGCGACCATAGATTACCTAAGGGAGATGATGGAACAACTTCTGAACAAGAAGAAGAAGAAGAAGAAGAGAACCCAATGCGCCTTACCCCGGCGAACAGGGGATAAGGAGTGGGTACCTCCTCATCGTCCAGCGACTGAGACGGAAGATAACAGTAATCCACAATCCGATTACTCTTCCAAGACATCGCTAGTAACGTCGCATACGGGGGGTAGCACCCGCGACAAGAGGTTCGACGAGTTCCAAAATTAGCTCAACGCACTCAAGCTTCAGCAGAACATGAACAAGCTGGGGGTGGTCCGACCCTACCCTGTTGAATGGGATACAGTCCCCTACCCGACGAAGTTCAAGCCGATTAGTTTGGTGCAGTTTGATGGCAAGGGCTCGCCCTCGCAACATATTTACTACTTCATGGCACAGACCGGATTCCTCACGGGGAACGACGCTATTCTCACTCGGCTATTCATAGGCACCCTCAAGGGGGTGGCTTTTGAATGGTTCCGCAAACTAGAACCCGGCTCTATCAAGTCATGGTCCGATGTTGAAAGGCTCTTCCTCGCCCACTTCTTCGACGACGACACGGAGATGTCAATGGCCACCCTCCTCGCCGAAAAGCAACGAAAGTCAGAGTCAGTCAACGACTTTGTAAAGAGGTTCTGTAACCGATCAGTCCACTGTCGGGACCAAGTTTCCGAATCCACGTTAATCGAGATGTGCCGCAATAATCTCTCGATCCACATCCTATCCAAAGTGGGCGCGGTGGAAACCCGGACATGGAAGGAGCTTGTTCGTCAGGGTGAGCAAGTAGAAAACATGATCAAAAGGGCTACAGAACCAGCCGTGCCAAAGAATCCCCCTCGGTCCAGAGGAAAAGAGATCATGGCCGTCGACTCTGCCCCGGCGCCAAAGGCTGCTCAAAGGCCGAAGCCCTGATAATTTGAACAACGCCCCCCGCGGCAATACGACTTCAAAGAGGACCAGGTGGTGGCGACATTCGACACTCTGCTCAAGAGTGAGCGAATTAAATTGCCAGAAGCCGCGAAACCTGAGGAGGTAGACAAAACCACTGACCCGAGTTATTATGCCTACCACAGATTCCTGGGCCACCACACGACTAAATGTTATGTCCTCAAGGATAAGCTCCAAGCCCTCTACGATGCGGGGGTCCTAAAGAAGGAGAAGGTTCAAAAGCAGGTGACCACGAATATGATCACTTTGAGCTTTGGAACAAATCTCTCAGAAGTCCAAGCTCCGGCAGGGATAATTCCCATTCCCAAGGCCGTCTTGAAGATCACCAATGATGACCCTCACAACCAGCGAGAGAAAGGTTTAGCTCCGCAGATTCTGCCATCGGGTCAGGTGATGTGGGTCCATCCGGACCTCCTCAACGACGAACAATGGACTACGAAGCCCTCGAAAGAGGCTAAAGGAAAACATTGTAATGTCATCTCCGCCATTCTAGGTGGGGAAAAGACAGCAATGACCGC